TAGAGACGGGGTTTCACCATGTTGACCAGGATGGTCTCGATCTCTTGACCTCGTGATCCACCCGCCTCGGCCTCCCAAAGTGCTGGGATTACAGGCTTGAGCCACCGCGCCCAGCCAAAACTAGATTTTTTCTTTACTGTAGGCTCTTTTTTTGTTTGCATCAACTTTTACTTTTAAAACTATTACAGGCCGGCCGGGTGGCTCACACCTGTAATCCCAGCACTCTGGGAGACCGAGGCAGGAGGACCGCCAGAGCCCAGGAGTTCGACCCCAGCCTGGGCAACAGTGTGAGACCCCTCTCTACAAAAAAATTAAAAAATTAGCTGGGCGTGGTGTCGCGCACCTGTGGTCGCAGTTACTCCGGAGGCTGAGGTGGGAGGATGGCTGGAGCTCAGGAGGTCCAGGCTACGGGAAGCCGAGGCCGCGCCACTGCACTCCGGCTTGGGCGACAGAGCACGGGCCTGTCCCCCAGACCCCTACATACAATTACATTAAAATGTCATTTATTGTCACTCACTAGGCAGGTTTTTGGTGCCTCTTTAAATTTCGCGCCCCAGGCGAGTGCGCCCTACCCAGGTTAAGACACCCGTTCGCGCCCAGAGGCGCCTTCAGAGGCTGCGCGCGCCCGAACCCCGAACCCCGAACCCCGAACCCCGGCCCCCGGCCCCCGGGGAACGACCCCGCGCCCCAGCCCCCGCCCGCACACACCTGGATCGGCAGATCGCAGAGCAGCGGGTCCTGCACCACCATGGCCAGACCCTCCTGGAACACGTCCACGGCCTCGGAGTGCGGCAGCGCCTCCTCCTCGTCCTCATCGTCCTCCGGCGCCTCGGGCCGACTCGCGGCCTCCGGCTGCTCCAGGACGGCGCGTCTCAGCAGGGATCCGCCCGCGCTGCCCGGCCGCACTACGGGGGCCAAGCGCGCACGCGCGGGAACTGCGGCCCGCCCCAGCGAGGCCGCCCAGCCATTGGTGCACGGACGGGAGGGGCAGTTGCAGTGACCAATGACAAGTGCGAGACAGCCTGCCGCATAGCCTGCTGGGAGCGCAGAATTGCCCTGTCTATTGGTTGGCTGGGGGGTGGGGCGGTGCCGGCTCCGGCTCGCGGCGCTGAGGCACCGCGGGAGCGGAGGGGGCCGGCCCTGCGGAGTCCGGGACGATGCTGCTGTTCTGTCCCGGCTGCGGGAACGGGCTGATCGTGGAGGAGGGACAGCGCTGCCACCGCTTCGCCTGCAATACGTGCCCCTACGTGCACAACATCACCCGCAAGGTGGGAGCCGAAGGCGGGCGCCCGCCGCAGGACTCCCGCTTCCTGCCCTGCAGCGCCGTCGCCGCCAGCCCCGGCGTCTGCCTCTGTCGTTTCTTTCTCTCGTTTTTTTTTTTTTTTTTTTTTTGAGACAGCGTCTCGCTCTGTGGCCGGGCTGGAATGCAGTGGCGCGGTCTCCACTCGCTGCAGCCTCCTCCCCCGAGGTTCGAGCGACTCCCCTGCCTCAGCCGGCCCAGGAGCTGGGCTTACAGCGCCCGCCACCGCGCCCGGCTGATTGTGTGTGTGTTTTCAGTAGAGACGGGGCTTCGCCGCGCTGGCCAGGCTGGTCTCAAACTCCCGGCGTCGTGATCCGCCCGCCTCGCCTCCCCGTGTTGGGATGACGGCGTGAGCCGCTGCGCCCCCTCCCGGCCGGCAGCGCCCCTGCGCGCTCTGCTTGCCAGTGCGCCCGGCGAGCCCGCCGCCGCCGCCCGCGCCCCCGCGCGCCCCCCCGCGCCCCCGCGCCCCCCCCGCGCGCCCCGCGCCCTTCCCTGCGCTCGCAGCGGCGGCCACGGCGGTTCCTGGGGCCGAGTCGCCCCGGTCCGTGCTGTGCGCAGAAACCTTCGGCCGTGTCCCAGCTCACGCGGGGGAACAGCCGGAGTCCTCCCAGGGCCTACCGGGGCCCGGAGCCCCCGCCCGGCTTGCTGCTTTGATTTCCAGTCCCGATGCTCCTCCTGTTGCCCCCGCCCCATGCACACCAGCCTCCTGGAGGACCAGCGGGGCCTCTGCACTTCCCGTCGCTCGGCTCGCGCTTCCCCACTGGGCTTGTCTTTACTTAGCTGTTTACTGTATTTCAAGTTGCAGCCCTTCCTTCTCAGTTATCCTCCTTCCCTTTTTAATTGTTTCCATAGGGCTTATTACCTCCTCATGTATTATGTAATGTATTGTGTGCTTTGTTTATTAATAATAGGACCTACGGCCGGGCGCGGTGGCTCACGCCTGTAATCCTAGCACTTTGGGAGGCCGAGGCGGGTGGATCACCAGGTCAAGAGATCGAGACCATCCTGGTCAACATGGTGAAACCCCGTCTCTACTAAAAATACAAAAAATTAGCTGGGCATGGTGGTGCATGCCTGTAATCCCAGCTACTCAGGAGG